CTTCTTGCGCATTTCTTCATAGAACCAACACCATCTGGAGCAGACATTTTTTAACACATGTAAAAACAGAAACCACCATGCCCAGGGCACCGCCTTTTATACCGCACCTTCTCGTTTAAGCAGCTAGTGGAGGAACAAAAGGAGAACAGTTTTTTGATTGAAAAGACTAAATATAAAGTACTACATATGATTGTAGGCATGGCTTTGTAATCATGCTCTTGTTGTTAGGGGCCTCTTCAAACTGGGGCAGCAAATTTATTTTGTAATGACATATTCAGGCATCCGTCAGAAGAGACAGTAACTGCGAGCTAAATATTTTATTATACTGTATTATATAATTGTTAATTTGTTACTTCTTTTTAATTAGAGAATGGTTAAAAGTGTCATTGGTGGAAATAAAGAAAAATTTGTTGTTGATTCTTCAATTAAGCATGTGAATTCTCTCATGGTGACCTTTAGATATGAAGAGAGGCACAAGGTATCATCATACATAGGTGAAATTGATACACATTGTCATCATAGGTACTTACTCGAAGTGGAAAATATTTAAACAAGGCTACCAAGTCTCTTGCACTTTTACTTATAGGGTATATGAAAGCAAATGAAGCATCTTGCCCTAATTATGTCAGACTTTTAGCAATTTTGGTAAGAAAGAGGTCTTATGACTAATTAAATTAATATTGTTTTTTAGAGAAAATATGCAATAGAAACATCAGATATTACTGAAAAGAAAAATTTCTACCATTCCTTTAAGTTGTGGACTAACAGCAAGTATGCTGAATTAAGTGAAGAGGACAGGAAGTCAATAATGGAAGAAGATGGATCAATTTGTTACAATACCACCTTATCAGCTACAAGTGGTAGTAACAGTGGGTGGGATTCAGAGGTGGAAGCTACTCCCAGTCCATATAGTTGTGCTTACACTTAAAACGTTAATCATTTATTCACAATTCAGAACACTTCATTATTCATTCTTTGATTATTTACCCATTACCAATGATGATAGTACAATGATTATGATACTTAATGAGTTTTGAAACTATGTTTTATGACTGACCTGTACCAGTGCAGATTATGTGTTGAATCATCCCTGATAGCTCAACTTTAATGGCCCATTAATGATGCTATCAGTGGTGACACAGTAATGACTATCAGCTCTCGATTTATCAGATAAACAGTACTGTATCGTTATTGATGATGATCATGGCTGTCATTTTCATGATGTCAGGAATGGTCCCATCATGACAATGAATAATAATGATCCAGAACTGATAACTATTGGCTGCGTATTACCTTTCATTATAGGGACAGGAAAAAGAAGCAACAAATGGAGTTTTATCACAATTAGAATAGGTTAGTATCAGCTTTATCATTATTAAATTCAATATTCCTAAACTTCTATCACCATGTAGCTTTAGCAATATACAGCAGAAGCCCGGCTGCATATGATGCTTTAAAATCATCTAATGTACTCCAATTGCCATCGAAATCAACACTGCAGGCTTATACTGGAGTTTTTATACATGACCCTGGAGCTAATAATCAAAGCATTACTGATCAAGTCAGTCAGTTCATTGTGCCTAATGAAGAGAGGAAAAAAGCAGGCTTAATGGACTCCAAGATAGCAGGAACACTGATTTTTTATGAAGTCAAGGTAATAGGAGGATTAATGTGGAATTCTCGGAATCACAAGATCGTTGGTTTGAGTATGAATCGAACTGATATGGCTGCATTAGAAGATGTCTATCAGAGTTTTAAGTGACACAAAGTAACAACAAACCAATTACATATTACAATTTCTGTGGCGTGATTTAACAGGTACATGTACGTACATGCAAACAAGATATTTTATATGCAATATTTTTAGGAGAATTTGACATTGTAAGGCCATACTTTACATGCTCACAGAGTATGAAGAGCAAGTCTATTTACTCATGTAACATGGAGACAGTAAAACTATTTCACTTGCATGGTCTAGAAACAATTCTCCTAGTTTGTGATGGTGCATCAGCTAATTTGTCGATGATCAAAGCAACACATGGACAGTGGTGTTTACCCAATTGATAACAAAGGTACATTACCATTATATTAATATAAACTATACAAGTAGATGAAACTGATGCATTAAAAGTCAATGCTGTCTTTACTAACCCATTTGATCCTCCTAATGTGATACATTGGATGATTTGTTCTACACACCAGGTAACTAATTTTGCCGTCCAGAAAATCCAGATTATATGTGACATTTTAAAGCTAAAAAATATAATTAATTCATTACTTTCATCTAGAATTGGAGGAACAAATGCATTAAAATTGAAGGGATTTACATTTGGTTGGTCTGCTATAACTGATCTTTACAAAAGAGAGTGCATAATTTTGTACTCTTGCTATAATTAACAATGTTTATCTAATTTTCAGATGCTAACTTCAATTACTCTAATTCAACACAGCAAAAATTTATGGCTTGGCAAAGTATGAAATTAGTGATTCCATTGTTCAGTTTTATTGTTCTTGTTTCGTACAATAGCATTTCATTTACTAATGATTGATGTCTATGGGTTCGAATCTTTTGCAAAATACTTCGTCCAAAATATCCCGGACATTTTCTTTCTCCTTTAAGAATCTCTGGTTCAGCTGTAGAAACATTGTTCGGGCAATATAAATATATTGCTGGAGGAAACTAGATGCAGTGAATTACTCTACAGTTCATGCTGCTAGCCTTGTAAGGCAAACAGTGTCTGGGCACCAAAGTGGAAAGGACTACAAGGACAAAGAATTATCTAGACCTCAGTTACCATTGAAAAGAAAAGAATATGGCGAGAGCAAAAAGGCATAAATTATGTAATAAAAATTTGTATGCTGTGTTAAAAGGCAGTCTCTTAAATTTTGTCCTGATTGTGAAGCATACCCCGTTTTGTAAACTAGCTTTTGATGCTGAGTAGATAAAAATTCTTCAATTCTTGTGTTACATAGTTTCCTTACCAATTCATTATATACATTGTCTTCTGCTGCTGTCAAACCAATACATTCAAACTCTTCAGATTTTCTTTCCTTAAGAATAGTCGTAAACATTGACCTTAGATTTTTTTCTTGTATTAACATAATTGTGAGCAGCCTACAACGAACAATAATGAAGTTCTGCAAAACTGTATGCTTTTACCTTCACCAACTCATCTTCATAACTTTCTATTCCTTTAGAAGATGCAATCTCTCACACATGAATCAACCTCCTGAAAAAAAGGAACAAAACTAGTGTGTAGTGTATACAAAAATCCTGTATCCCGGTATTTCATATAATTAGGCATGTGTGATTTATCTTTAGATGTTATGGTGTGTAGAATTTTAATCTCCTGGGAAATTAATTCCCTTTTGTCTTCTTTACAAGTACAAATAGTCTGGTAACGACCTTTTAACATAATAGCAATAGATGCACCTCCAAAGCGATAGTAAACATCATCGCCATCTTTCAAGGAGTCACATGTAGAGACAGGTCTGGTGTCCTTGGATGAATGTAGCTGTTGTATTATGTGATTGAAAACTTCAGAAGAAAGATGCATCATAATCACTTTACAATGATCCATGTTGAACTTGATACAAAATGTAAGCCATGATTCTCTGATAGTTGAATCATTTTTGGTGTAGCTTGACAAAATGACAGATATATCCTCTTCTTTAGGTAACAAAAATATGCTGCAGTAGCGATACCACTCTATCTGAAAATGAAGATGCTTTTCCTTCCCTTTACTATATTCTTGATACAGGGATAGAAGTAGGTCATGATGGTACCTGATAATATTGAAGAACAAATTGTAATTCCTTTGAATCATTTCAGAAACAACATCCTTAACATCATGAGAACTATCTTCAACCATATGTTTTATTTGTTTCTCTGTCTGGTTGCAAAGGGTATCCAGATCAAACTTTTGCATGACTTCTACTGCCTGTAATGTTTTCTTTGTAAGGGCTCTTTTACCTTTACTACTTGCAGCTGGATTAGTTCTCATACACTTGAAGGCACTTGCTTCTGCTGTCTAGCTTTCCTCGTCCTGGATGGTGTTAAAGCATAGCTTGAACAACAACTTGTTTCCAATTCATCATCAATAGAAGAGAAATTCAGCTCACAGTTATCTGGATTTTCTTCAATCCTATCTTTATCAAATTCATCGATAGGAAACACGTGTTTACCACACCCGTTTAATTACAAGTAATCAATATTTTGATTTATGAGAGTAATAAAACGTAATAAAAATACGGAGATAACACGGTTTGTAACTTACAAGATCTACGCAGTCGTGCAGCATGACTTGATACACAGTAGGACACTGCCTAAAATTATGTACTCTTGCTCATTCTGATGACTGTCAGAATTTCAAAACGAATTCCAACACTCCTGACACTTCAGATAATTTTATGGATTGTGATGGCTTTAGGCCTGATGATGTGCACACTATGTCTAGCGTTATTGACCAGTTTCTTTTATTTGCAAAGGAGGACCAAATAACTTTTGTTAATGAATTATTGGTTTCTCATGCATCAATACATTATAACTTATTCTTACCGGCTAACTACATTTAACTGTCTTAGAGAGCAATGAAACATGTAGAGTGTAGGCCGCTCTAATGTATCGTTTGAACTGGCTAAGGGTCTTGGCACTATGCATTAAGATGGACTTGATTCTTTTGTTTCCCACAACAGGATACCAATGGGTTTATTACACTACATGGTTTTTTTTTACAAATGAATTTGGGAAAAAATTAAGTTATTTTACTGTAATTTTAAGACTATATTTTTTAGTTAATTTGCCTAGATGACTATATTTAGTGGCTTCAAAGTTTATCCATACATTTTGGGACAGAGTTTTTTATATTATTACATAGACCATTGTGGACTAAATATCCTATTAATAAGGATGTGGCTTCCAGAGTTGGTGCACAGGTTTGATTTTATTTAATTGCATCATTATTTTATGTCTTTACATAGGCACGTGTTAATGTACCGCCAGTTTTGGAGCGTACCATACAAAGACTTACATCTAATACAGGTTTTTGTCTTCGACCTGATATACAGGTGTAATGACGCCCTTTTGTAACATTTTATATTTTAATGCATTAGTTAAACAGATGGTTATCCTGGATGAAGCTTTTAAGGCACATCCTAATGCAAGATGGTGGGTTAAAGGTAATGGTTGTGGCATTATTAGTGGATTAGAAGAATCAGTTACCTTAGGGTGGGTATTAATTGCAACACTTAATTTTAGCGTTTTTAGCAAGTGTACTTAAAAAAGCTAATTCAACCAGTTACTAATAATAGTTATTATGTACTTGTGTAAACAATTACTCAAGATTGGTAAGATCTGTAACAAGATAACAGTAAATAGGGTGGTCCTGTTAAGTGTTCTGCTTATAAATGTATCGATGGGCGTCTTCAGTAGTGTTATGCTTTTGAATGGGGGTTTTACCATTGATTTTCTTCTATTTTCGCTACTATTACATTTCGCTAAATCAGGGTCCCCTTAAAAACGCTAAAATTTAAGAGTGCAATTAATACCCACCTAAGGTACTTGTGATTGGTATGGTGATGTAGATTATGGAGATGGTCAACTTCAAGCTTTCTATGAGATGTATATGGACCGACTTGAAAGAGTCAAAGACTATATATTAAATATTCATGTTCAGAATCAGAGAAATCTTATCCTGTAATCTCCTGTTTTTGAAGAAAGATCTTTACCGCAAGATATCACATTTATAACTAATGGTGAGATCACTATTTTGTATGCTATGTATTAAATGTATGTTTTAGCACTGCAGTCAGCAAATGAAGTGTATTACAAAAAGCTTACAGAGTCATATACTGACAGTGTACTTATGAGTTTAGCATGGAATGTGGGTGAGCTGTCACAATTAAATCAAGAAGGCGGTAAGCTACTAGGTGAAGTATCAGTCGTTAAGCAAAAGCTAGATTAATTCGATTTGGTTTCTAATAATGTCACTAGGCATAGTTGTG